GAATCTTTCTTTTCTTGATGTTGAGATGCAGTCCTTATAGAAAGCTGCATTCCTTGATCTTCTGCAGCAAGCACTTCAAGCAAGTAAGGTTGTGTCATCTGCATACCACAGGTTACTGATGAGTCTTCTTCCAATCTTTATGGCACATTCTTCTTCATAGAGTCCAGCTTCTCAAGCAATTTGCTCAGCATACAGACTGAATATGTGTGGAGAGAGGACACAACCCTGGGTTCAAATTGTCTTCCTGTCAAACATTCTTCTAGGTGGTATAGCACAGGTTGCTACACAGAGGTAACTCTTGTGATGCTGAAGACTGTGACAGTGATGTGCCAGTCGTGGTAATGGGTACCCATGGTGGACAGTGTTGGCTGGAGCTTCCCGACTAAATCAAGCCTGGAAGCAGGAGCGGCATCCACTTCCGAAATGGCTTGCCTCCGGAAACTCTATGTACGAACAGTGCTCAGGCTGTTCATTCATAGGGTCGCTATGAGTCATCTACGACTCAATGGCATCAAAACAAAAACAACTTTTCCCTTTGGAAATTTTGCTTGTCAGCTCTGGCATCCACGTTGGTCTCTGGTAACCGCAGCACATGCTGGAGTTCTACCAGCCTCGCCGGCGAGGAGCCGCACTGCAAACCCCAGGTGGTGCCTCTCGGAGGTTCAAGTTCACCAGCAGCTGCTCAGGAGAGGGCACGGCAGTCTCTCCTGTGTGACTTACGGCCTGTGAGGGCCCTCCTCTCAAGGGCGCACCCACAGAACTGAGGACGGCACCCGCTCAGTGGCCGTGTTGGGGTTTCAGAACTGAAATGGAAGCCTGGTGGCACAGGGGTTAAGCAGTAGGCTGTGCACTGAAAGGCCCCCAGTTTGACCCCATCAGCTGCGCTTGGGATAGAGGTGGCTGTCTGCTTCTGCACAGACCTGCAGCCGTGGAGCCGCGGTGGGGCAGTGCCACACATCAGTCCTGAGGACAGCTGGCTCGGCTTGGGTTTGGTTGTTTGGACTCTGTTTTGTTTGGATGCCTGAAATATTTTGTTCATGTTAATCCTTTCTGAGAGCAAACTGGCATGGTTCCTAGTGTTAGCCAGTGCAAATTATGTGGCAATATTTGTTCACACCTATGTACATTTCCAGTCAATTTCTGTCTTGTAGCTATAAAGCTTGACTTTCTGTTCTGAGGAAAGCTGCCAATATAATCTGAAAATTCCATTTCAAAGGATCCTCTTAAGCCCTGCCTCCCCCTTTTAAGTTCTCTATTTCCAGAGTGTTCAAGAGGTAAGAATAAAGATAAAAGTTAATCTTCCAAATTCCCACTGAACCTGCAAACACAGGACATGGACAGCAGACCCTGATGTCACCACTAACCTGGGTAAGCATAGGCAGAGCACTGCTGGTGGTGCAGTGGGTAAGTGCTTAGCAGCCCACTGAAAGTCAATGGTTCAAACCCAGCAGGTGCTCCATGGGAGAAAGATATGGCAGTCAGCTTCCATCAAGAGCTACAGCCTTGGAGATGCGCAGCAATTCCATGCAGCTCTTCGATAGGAGCAGGCACTGAATCGAGACAGCCTTGGGTCCTGGGGGGTGCCAGTGGCCAACTGGCTAGACCAGTAACAACGTTCGAGGTCTGGGTCCATCTGCCCGCCCTGCCCTGTTCTGTTGAGTCTCTCCCAGTCGGAATCCACATGACAGAAGAAAGGCTGGTGATCTACGCCTGAAACAATCAGCCACAGAAAAACCCATGGTGCACGCTTGTCCTCCGACACAAGGGAACCGTGGGAGAATGGACCAGAGGGCAGTGCATGCAGCACGGCTTGCCCGCCACGGCTCACGTGCCATGACTCAGCACCATGGCTTGCCCACCACGGCTTGCGCAAGGCCTCGAGGAACCAGTATGCACCCAGGGCGCCAGGCCCAGCCACCCTGAGTCAGGCCAAGCTGAGAGCTGCAGAGGGACAGAGGCGTGCAGGGCCTCCACCTCGTGAATGAGGACAGTCCGGGGGCACTGTGCACTACACCCTGGGCTGCTAGCTGAACACTTGGCAGTTCAAACACACCAACCACTCTCCCGGAAACTCGCACAGCCTGGGAGCTCAGGGGAGAGTCGCCTTGGGTCAGAATCAACTCTGGTTTGACTTACAAATGTAGCAGCAAAAGTCTAAGTAATCATGCCAACCAGCACAGAACTGTAAGTAATCATGCCACCCCACGCACTCTCTCCCACCTTCCCAGCCTCATCACACTACACACCCTCTCTCCCTCCTTCCCAGCTTCACTTTTCCCTCCAATAGTAATCATCACCTTGTTGTTAGGTGACTTTTTAGGTGACAGCTGAATTTTGCCTCAGAACGACCCCCTTTGACAAGGCAAAGGGCTCTCTCAGCTGCAGTCTTTCAGGAGCCAATGGCCATGGTCTACAATTGCCATGGTCTACAATAGCCATGGTCTATGATTGCCATGGTCTACAATAGCCATGGTCTACAATGGCCATGGTCTACGATAGTCATGGTCTATGATGGTCACGGTCTACAATAGCCATGGTCTACGATGACCATGGTCTATGATTGCCATGGCCTACAATAGCCATGGTCTACAATGGCCATGGTCTACAATGGTCATGGTCTATGATGATCACAGTCGATGACAGCCATGGTCTACGATGACCATGGTCTACGATGGCCATGGTCTATGATTGCCATGGTCCACAATAGCCATGGTCTACAACAGCCACGGTATACAGCCCACTTGTTTCCCTCTCTCCCTTTCCTGGGACAGAGATTCTCGTTTGCTGTCTATTGGGTCTGGAGGGGCTCCATTCAATGAACAGACTTTCCCAAGTTCTCATCACTAGTCAGCAGTGACCAGTCCAGAACACGGGATGGTGTCTGGCTCTGTTCTTGCCTCATTCTTATTATGGACAAGAGTGAATTGACGATTCTGGAGGTTAAATGACTTATGGAGAGATTACTCTGCTGAAACAACCAGTCCACTGGGTCTTCCGTTGAGGTGTCTTTCCAAGTTTTAATTACTATTCAAATCAGGGGAATGTTAAAAGGAAATAAAGACTATTTAAAAAATGAAGAAAATGTATTTCATCCACAGAAGTGTGTCTCTGAAATTGTCAAAATGAAGCCGGCCCCCTTCAGCTTCAGAGCCCCTCTGGGTCCCCGTGAATGAGGAAGAAGAGAACATATCCTCCTGGGACCTTCCAAACGCTGTGATTCTACCCAGGACAAGCAGAGGCAGATGGATACCAGCAAGTTGGGCCAAACCATCCATTCAAACTTTTAGGGGGCTGAAACATGAAGGTGGAGAGGTCTATCAGACCGGATCACCTCATCACCTTGCACCTCTAGCCAGGTGAGACTCAACAAGCTTGTTGCACAACACTCCCTCAAGAGCCCTGGGTAAGAAACCCAGCACCAAGAGAAGACAGCACCTTCCAAACTTAGCTCCTTACTGGGGAAACCATCTCAGAGCAGTCTGCTAAAACCCACGAAGTGAGTAACTACCCGTCCTGGAACAGAGGAGGAGGCTCCTGGCCCAGGGTAGTAGCATCCAGCACCTCAGGAAGACTTCAAAGATGGAGGGAGGATGAAGTGGAAGCTTTCCTGCCAGCAGTGTTTAACAGCTCAACCTGGAAACAGCCTGGGAACCTGCAGGAGGGCTGGTCCCAGCTGGGGCGGGATGTCTGCCAGCCCTGGGAGCAATAAAGAAGCTCAGGATGTACCAAGAGTCCCGATACACTGCTCATGAGGCAGAGACTGGAACAGTGGGTGAGCTGCAGTATGTAAATAGACACCTGTGTGGAGTAAGAAACCATCACTTCAAGTCCTTTGAGACTTCCCAAAGGAGAAAGCCCTTGCACGAGCCCTGCCTGTGCAATCACACATACACACGTTCACCCCACACCCGCGTACACACACAGACCTGGACGTGCAGAGAAATGCCTGTGGGATCCCACAGCCACGCGGCACTCCCTCCAGGGGCCAATGCAGCCTGTCCGGCAGTTTTACCCAGCTCACACCCCTGAGCCGGGCCTGCTGGTCTCCACTGTCCACAGTGCCCTGTGCACGCTGAGGGGGTGGGGACACCCCTCCCTGCGAGCAGAGAGCCTTCATTCTGAGGGCGCCCCTCCACTGAGAGCTTTTCTGTGGTTCCTGAGGTGCTGAGGTGTCCTCGACTTCCCTAGGTCTGAACGTGTGGCAGAGAACTGCCCACAGGCCTTCCTGCACTGTAATCTGACCTGTCCCCAGGCCTTTCTCCCCGCAGGCCATTCTACTCACCCCACCTTCCCATCTGACCAGTGGTGAACTGGCTGACTCTCAAAAGTGCAGCGCCTCACCCGCCTGCAAACTCCTAACTGGCTTCTCCGCTGAGACTCCCAGACCTTTGTCCAAACTTAGAGCAAACTGGAGAAGTCCAAGATGGACAACAAACTGCCCCTCTGGATGGATTTCCACCCCGAGAAGTCTTTCCTCGCTTAGCCAAAGAGAAACCAGCTCCTTGGAAGGCACTGTGCAGGCCAGGGGCCAGCAGAGGCAGCAGCGCCAGCTCACTGGGCCCTGGCCTCCCCCGGCCAGCGGCGGGAGCCTCGGCTGAAAGCCGCCTCTCTCCCGCCCCCAGTGGTCTTCCCCTTTGAACAAGGCCAAGCCTCAAAGGGCACAAAGGTAACCAAGGAGAAGAAAGAAAATTTCCTGCAAAGAGGGACATCCACAGAGGAGGGTACGCCCGCGTGACGTGAGAGCTCCAGGCAGCCCCAGCGCGATGATGGGGCCCCAGAACGATCTTGGAGGCCATGGAACCCCAGGAGCTGGCGCTGGACAGCGACCACGGACGGAGGAGGACGAACCAGTCACCGCTGGAGAAGGGAGCAGGCTGACCGGCGCAGGGGAGGTGTGCGCTGTGAGCGCGCGGCGAGCGCCTGGGGCCGCAGGTGGTGAGGCCGAGGGGTAGGGGCCGGGCGCAGGCACCGTGCGCCCAGGGACAGCGTGCGGGGCTCACCTTGTTGCAGAAGATCTCGGGCTGCTGGTTGGGCGCGGGCACGGTCTGGGCGGCGGCGGACAGCAGTCGGCGGCCCAGCCGGGGCACGAGGCGGGCGGCGTGCAGCATGATCTCGGCGGGGGGGCTGTGCACTGTGCCGGCCGGGCAGGGCCACCTGGCCTCGCCACCGGCTTCTCCACGCCCCCGAGCCGGCTGCCAATGGGCAGCGCGGGGCGGAGCGGGCCTGCTGGCCAATAGGCGCGGAGAAGGGGTGGGGTGGGACGCGCGGGGTGGGGTCTGGAGGCCCACTCTACCCGCCTGATGCAGCCAGGAAGCTGACCCCTTCGTGTGGCCAGGGAATGACCCGACCTCGTGAACTCTGCAGGCGTTGCTGAAACCCCAGTGTGGGCCAGAGTTCAAACCTGACCTGGTGGCCCTGGCCCTGACCTCGAGGCTTGCACGCTGGTGGGAGGAGATAAAGAGGGCCTGGGATGGCTGGGGTCCAGGGACCGCTTTCCAAACCAGGTCAGGAAGTGGTCGTGAGACCTGGATGCCGAGGACTGAGGATGTGGGGAGGATGGTGACGCCATGGTGACTAGTGTCACTGAACAGGATTCGCACTATCTAAACTTGGAATCTGCTGTGTACACAACACCCCCAAGTACAATAATTGGGTTGTTGTGGGTTTTTCCACCCACCCCAACAAGTGTTTTTAAGAAGGAAGAACATTCTAGCTGCTGAGAGCTGCCCACGCCCAGGGAATTGAACAGACCCACCTCTCGGAAAAGGAAATTCTGGGCCAGGGAGACGGTGAAGAGGGTCCCAGAGGCTGTGGGAAACGTGCTGGGGGGAGGACTGGCCTGATTTGCATTCTCCGACCTCCCACTGGGCCCTCTTTCCGTGGCATGAAAGGCCAGGGGTTGAAGTAGGTAGGAAGGAAGTTTCCAGGCCCTTTCAGTCCAGTCACCCTGGGGCTGGGTGCTGGGCTTGCTGGGCCCTGTGAAAGGATACTGGCTGGCACCTGAGGGGTCAGACGGTCAGATGTGCACCCTTCACCCCTTGCTGTGAGCTGCCTGGAGGCAGGGCCACCGGGCAACAGAGGTGCACGAGTTCTGAGAGCAGAGAACCAAAGCATGCACCCAGGCAGTGGACGTCCGGAAGCTGAGGCCACTGCACCGGCAAAGGAGCTCATCCTCAGAGGCCAGGGGAAGAGTTGGAGTCAGCAAAACTGCCACTTCTCCAGGGCACGTTCACCCAACAGCTGGGGTCCTCTCAGCCCTGGCTGGTTGGAGGACGCAGCCGGGGCTCAGCATCCACACTTTGCTGCCATCCAGGTGCTGCTCCAGCCCCCAGCGTTGAGACACCCCAAAGCACTTCATCCTTCTGGTCCACATGTGTGTCTCTGTGTTGGACAAAAAGATGCCATTCCATCCACTTGTTGCAAAGGTGGCGACAAAGGCCCCCTTCCGGGTCCCCGAGTGGTGGGAGGGCAGCAGAGCATGGGGGTTAGCCTTGTCCTGGGACAGTGGTGTTCTCTAGCCTTGGTTTGGGGTGTTTTGTTTTGCAAAACAATGAATGGGAAGTAGGGACATTCAAAGTAACAGATAATCTCCCACCAGGGGGGAAACGTGGCCCTGCACCGCTCACAGAAACTTCAACACACCCCACAGGGCAGTCTAGCCCCCAGCAAACACCCTTGAGATCCACACCTGTCACAGACCTTACCTCCCCACACCTCATCCCTCCCGGAGGCTCGGAGGGATTCCCGAGATTCTACTTTGGAAGTAGAATCATCAAGAGAATTCCTTTTTTTTTTCCCTGGTCAAGGAATGCTCTCCTTGGAAAATGGGCTTCTCTCTACTATACCTTCTCTTTGAGTTAAGGCCAACTCACCCCCTCAGGAAGCACCTTATAAAAACAAAACAAAAAGCAGCCACAGCCGAACAAGAACAAGTTACCTTCAAGTGGATTTTGACTCCTGGAGAGGAAGTTGCCAGCGGCATGGCTGCGGATGCAGGGGGCCCTCCTGCCTCTCGGAGTAGCTGGAAGGTTTGAACTTGCAAACCATTGGCCTTCCTCAGCCCCCAGGCACTTAACCACTGCACCAGCAGGGCTCCTGCTCCTTGCTGATTGGCTGGGAGGCTGCCTGAGGTTCTCTCTGGAGAAGCTGGTGGATTCAAGCCGCCCTCCTGTTCAATAGTCATCACACAAGTTGCATATTATGTGACCAAGGCTCCCGATGAAGGTTCCTGGGGGTTCCTGGGGAACAGTGTTGTCTCCATTTCCCAAGTGAGAAAATCACGTCTCTGGTCTCTGGAACACCTTGCCCAGCCTGACCTGGCTCATCTCAAGTGGAGTTTGGATTCAAACCAACCTGCTTAAACGCACCTCTCTGTATCCGCCTTGGACATGATAGAAAATTCCCTCCTGATGCCAGACCTGACGACTCTGCTCCCAGACTAGTGTGAGGGGTTCAACTTCCACGTTTGTCTGTGCCCTGCTTGCGGATGTCGGTGGATTTGAACTCTTGTCACATCTGGTATCATGGAGGCGAATCTGTCAGTGACCTCCAGGGATGTGCCCTGGAGATACCAGTGCTCTGCCAGGCGTGTGCCCAAGGTCTTGCCCAGTGACTGCAGAGAAGCCCCCTGGGGAACCCAGAAGCCGGCTGATGGCAGGGGAGACCTCCCTGCACACACCTGGGACTGCAGGTGGGGAAGCCGGGGGCCTGCCCTTTCAGCCACACTAGCTGCAGTCTGGGAGAGGTGTTGTGAAGGGACCCCACCGCACACGTGGCCTAGAATGCCAGCTCCTTAAGTCTTCTAGACAATTACGCAAGGTCTGATGGGACCAGGAATCAGGACTAGGGGCCTTCAGGCTGCTTGTGGAGGTCAAGACCAGTTATTGCGGGGTGGGGGGGGGCCTGGAAGTTGTGAAGCCCTCTCTAGAGACAGTGCCCCCCATGAAGCCTTGATGATGGGCCTCCCATCTTTACAGTTTCTCTGCCTTCCCATGGCAACCCACCCTGAGGCACTAGGGAAGCCAAGGAAGTATGTGTCCATGCACTGAGGACAACACTGTGGGAACCACGTCTGTATGGTGGTGGTGGTGTGGTATACCAGTCAGAATTGACCCGCAGCTGACCCTCCAGCGAGTCTCCAGAGATGGTTACTTACACAGGAGGAAGATACCCATCCTTCTCCCGCGGAGCAGATGGTGGCCTCGAACCATGTGCTTTTGGGAATTCAGCCCAGCTTCTTGCCGCTAGGCCGTGTTGTTGTTACGTGCCATTAAGTCGCCTACAACTCACAGGGACCCTGTGTACAACAGCTCTGAAGCCTGCCCTGTCCTGAGCCAGTCTCACTGAGTCCAGCACATCTACCCCCATTGCCCTAGTTACTCCATCAATCCGTCCAATCCAGGGGCTTCCTCTCTTACGCTGTCCCTCCACCCTCCTGAGCATGGTATCCTTCTCCCAGCATCAGTCTCTCCAGGCCACGTGTCCCAAGTACGTGAGATGAAGGTCCAGAGCCTCAGTGTCCAACGAGAAACTTGGTTTTACCCTCTGCCAGACAGACCGGCTTGTTTACTTGATGGTCCATGGTATGTTCAAGACTCTCCTCCAGGACTACAACTCAAAGGCATCAATTCTGTTAGTATCACCTCTTATTCTCTGTCCCAGGAGAAGCAAGTAGGACAGGCCCAGCCTTGTAGGGACGGTGGCAAGACCCTGAGGCTTCACCAACAAAACTGGTCAGGCACGATCATTACCAAACCAGAGGCGTCATGCCCAAGCTCATGCTCACCCACAGCGAGCGGCACAGCCGTGTCTGGTCAAGCCGGGATGCCGATGGCACTGAAGTGAAGGCGGTGGGACTCGCCGAGTAAGCTGCCTCTTGTCTCAGCTCTTGGGAGCTGTTGATGATTACCTTTTTAAGTCCCTTTTTTAAAAAAAAGGTATTGCAGTTTTTTTTGTTTGTTTTTTTTTTTACTCTGGTTTGAGTGAAAACTTACAAAACCTTTCATCTTTTTACTCTGGTTTGAGTGAAAACTTACAAAACCTTTCATCCAACCACTGTGACTCTGTGTGCCCGTGGTTTTTCTGGCACCTTCTACAGCGTGAGGGAAGTCTGGATTGGATCTAATGTTCCTTCGTCCTCAGGAACACTGGATCTACATGGACTTTCCCCAACCTAAATCAGGTCATGTCATCACATCACCTAAACACACAGCTTTGTCACCTTTGGAATCGCAAACCAGCGAGGTCCCAGGTGGTCTGGCACCAAACTCACCTTTGCAACCTGACCCTAGATGACTACATGCGACCCTTACAGGATGGGGTACAGGGGACTGCACTCCATCAGTGGGAAGAGCAGCTCAATGTGCTGTCAGAGCAAGGCCAGCGGCTGGACCCAGCAGCACATCATGAGACACGGAAACACTGAAGTCTCAAGGATTTCCTTTAACCTGGACGCAGTTCATACCATGAAATCTTGTTATTGGTTTTTATGTGCTGTCGGGTCGCCTACAACTCATAGCAATCCTTCATACAACAGCCCTAAATCCTGCTCTGTCCTGTGCCAATCTCACTCTCTCTGACACTCCTACCCCAATGACCCCAGTGACTATATCAATCCACCTTGTTGAGAGTCTTCCTCTCCTGCGCTGTCCCTTCACCCTCCCAAGCATGACATCCATTTCCAAGGACTGGTCCCTCCTGGCAGCATGTCCAAAGTATGTCAGACAAAGCTTTAGAATCTTTGTCTCCAAGGAAAAGCCTGGCTTCACCCTCTCCAGGACAAACCTGTTCGTTCTCTTAGCAGTCCATGGTATATTCAACATTCTTCACCAGCACCACAGCTCAAAGGCATCAATTCTCCTTCTATCATCTATAGTCATTGTCCAACTCTCTGATGAATAGCAAGTGATTGCAGAGATCATGGCCTGTATCAGGAGCACCTTAGTCTGACATTGTTGCTCTTCAGTAATCAGGAGAGGTCCCTAACAGCAGACTTTCCCTTCACAATATATCTGTTAATTTCCTGGCTGTTGGTACCAAGAGTGTTGTTTGTGGAGCCAAGCAAACTAAATCTATAAACAATCTCAATCTCTTCACCATCCATCTTGATGCTGCTAATTGGCCCAATGGTGTGAATCTTTGTTTTCTTGATCTTGAGCTTCAATCCATATTGGAGGCTGCAGTCCTTGACCTTCTGCAGCAAATGCTTCAGGTCCTCCTCAGTTTCAGCAAGCAGGGTTGTGTCATCTGCATAACGCAGACTGTTGATGAGTCTTCCTCCAATCCTGATGCCACACTTCTCACAGAGCCCAGCCTCCCGGATAATCTGTTCTGCACATAGATTGAAAAGGTATGGAGATAGGACACATCCCTAGGGCATACCCTTCCCAATTTTGAACCATGCAGTATTTCCTTGCTCTGTTCTGATGACTGCCTCCTGGTCCAAGTCTAGGTTGGGCATTAGCAGGGTCACATGTTCTGGGATTCCCATTCTCCCATAAAAGCAGCAGGGAGAAATCCCTGGGTAACCTTGGTGCACAGACCTTGTTTGTGTTAAAGCAGGGCTGATACTCTAAGTGTGTCTGTTCCAAGCTGTGGCTGCCCCCAAGGCATGGGAAAACTGGGCAAAGAAAAATCAAAAAATGAGTGTATTTGGATTATACTGTAAACGTCCAGAAAAAAAGAAATAAACCTATCTCAGGAATTTAGTCAGATTGCTCTTTAGAATACAAGTTTTCTTGCAGAAAGTGAAGAAGACTTTAAGCGCTTCTTGCAAAAGATCAAAGATCACAGACACCAAAACAGAATATACCTCAGCATCAAGAAGACAAAAACTCCTCCCCACTGGGCCAACAGGCAACATCATGATAGACAGAGAAGAGACTGAACTTGTCAGTGACTCAATTTATTCAGATCCACAATCAACACCCACGGCAGTCAATAAAATAGGTTAAAATTGTGAAAATTTACTGTCAAGGACCTCTTTAAAGTTCAAAAGAGCAAGGATGTCGGTTTGAAGCCCTAAGGTGTGCTTGATCCAAGTAAATTTACATTTGCTTCATATGCATCTTGACAGATGGACAGTGAATAAAGATGAAGGAGCAGCATCGAGGCCTGTGATTTGTAGTGTTGGAGAATAGGACTGAGTGGACTGCAGAGAGAACATGCAAATCTCTCCGGGAGGAAGTGCCACCAGGGAGGCAAAGACAGTGAAACTTCATCGCACATACTTGGAGCATGTTGTCAGGAAGGGCATTTTTTCTTAGGAAATAACGTCATGCTGGGAAGGGGGGAGGGTCAAAGAAAGAAAGGAAGGCTCTCAATCAGACGGACTGACCCAGTGCCTGTGCCGAGGGCTCAGTCAGGTCATGAAGAGGGCACAGGGTGGTGGACAGCCCAGATTGCTTGTTCGCAGGGACACTGAGTCGCAGTGGACTTAACCACAATAGCACCTGAGAAGTGGCTTCATCTTGCTTCCACTGGACATGCTAGGAGAGACCAGTGCCTGGGAAGGACCTCTTGCTCGATGAAATAGGTGAGTGAAACATTGAGGCTGCCTGATACTTGGCTGCACAGTGGCTTGTGGGCAGCTTTACTGTGGGGACAACGCAGGACCAGCTGAGACCAATGTGTCTGAGCCAAACTGATGGTCCCCAACACAAGTCAGGCCAGGGCACAATGCGGCCTCAACGCATCACTTAGTTACCTCTGGAATCATCACCAAGTCCCTCCCAGAGGTGAGGCCCCGCGATCTGGCACCCAACGCACCTCCTCAAACCTCTGCTCCTCTTTGTCCCTCCCAGCTACACACCACACACACACACACACACACACACACACACACGGCTGTACCCCAGGGCCTTTGCACTGGCGGCTGCTTCTGGAAGCACTCTAGCCCCCTCTCCTTGTCATTCAGGTCTTGGCTCAGATTCCTAGTCTGGAAAGAGTTCTGAGTGCCCAATCTTGGCCTTCACTCAGCACCTCTCTGTCCCCTATCAAGGTCCTCGTGGCACTGACCAGTCCCCCATGGAGACGCAGACCCTCTGTGAGAACAGCACGTCCATTTGTTTCTAGTGTAATTTGAGTGAAATTTTACAAATTGGCTTTCCACGCCAGTGTTTTGACACTGACGACAATTCCCACAATGGAATCCTTTCTCCCCTCTCCCTTCCAGTGACTCTCATTTCCAGTAATCTTTCTGCTTAGCCTTATGAACTAACCTGGGGAGATGCTGCCCTTTTGAGCTTATGTGGTTATTCAGGGAGTGTCTTCCTGATGTCACTGTTTCCCTTAGATACCATAGTCTGGTTTAGGGGCTCTGCTTGGTGGTGCAGATTACCAGGGTGCCAAGCACCAGGTCACCAGCGGCTCTGTGGGCAGTAGTCTCTTCCTGGAAATGTCCAGCCTGAGCAACCCAACGGAGGGTCTCCGGGAGTCAGAACTGACAGGCAGCAGGTCTGGTTTGGGGTCTGATCGCCTGGCTGACTCACAGGGCATCCTGTGTTTTGTTGACAACGTTCCCCACACCAGCACAAGTTGCAGAGGTGGGCGCAGCTAACAACAGTGAGTGGATTATTTGACAGGACAAGGGGTCATCTGCGCCAGAGCCCAGGGTGTCCCCCCACCCCCACGTTCCCTATTGCTCAGCTGGTTTCCTTCTCTGATCTGCACTATTTAACAAATGTGGTTAACCCCTGAGGCTGGAGAGAGGTCCAAGGACCACAGGACCACATGACCAACTGGCTGCTCAGAGAGGCACTTCCTTTTTAGGAAATCCCTACTCTGGGGCCCAGAGCAAGAACTATGAGTGGCTAACAGGCCAACCAGCTCTTGGCTTGGATTTCACCTGATCGTTTAGCACTTTCTCTGTGGAGAGCCAGAGCCCCTGACCATGAGGCAAGCGTATCAAGGTGGCCCTCTCCAGCTCCACCAGCTCAGGCCGCAGCAGGTGGGTTCTCCTCAGCTAACATGGTTCCCAGGAGGAGGCCAAGTCCAGGGCGCAGCCGATAAGGAGAACATCCTGCCACCAGGCGGGTCCTAACGTTCAGCAGCTTATCTCCCAGAACACCCACTTTTCAGAAGCTGGGGCCTGGGAGAACTCAGAGCACATACAGTCTCCTCAGAGGGCACCTCCTGGCACTCTGAATTCACAGCTGGCCAAGGTGAGGACACTGAGGCACGCTGGAGAGCTGCCCTGGGGACACGCACCGTGAGCCAAGCAGCAGGGCGGGGGTGGCGCGGGGCAGGGGTAGCACGGGGTGGGGGCAGTACTCGGCAGACCCCACTGACCCACACTCCAGGCCAGAGGCAATGCACGTGCAGAGACAGGGATGAAAAGCTAGCCTTTATTTCTTCGTCCTTCTGTATGACAGAGAAAGTTCTAGATTTTTTTTTTTAAATTTTTTGTGTTCTCAAACCCCCTTTCCCAAATCAGGTTTATTAGTGTTCTGCATGACAGATATTCACACAGGCATGGCTATTTGGCTTTCTTCACATTTTCCTGAAGTGTTCCAAGGAGGACCCATGGGCACTGGGCAGTGGCTCCTGGCCTCAACCAGAGCCACAGGCCACGACATCTCCTGGCCAGAGAGGAGGAGCCGCAGTGCCAGCTGCCCAGGCTGTGTGCCCGCTCCTGAGCGCCCGGTGCGAGGGCTTTGCCAGGGCCTGAAGCCACACCCTCTGCCTCACAGAAGACTCTTCTATGGGGCTCCCAAACGTGAGTGCCTGGTGAAAGATCTGCTGGAGGTTGTCCACGTGGTGGGCGGTGGCCAGTCCTGAAGGACCCTCAGTCCTGCAGCCCTAGGCCCGGGACTTGAGCTCCATCTTGGCCACGGCGGCTTGGTGCACCTCGTCGGGGCCATCAGCTAAGCGTAGCGCCCGGGCCCAGGAGAAGAACTGAGCCAGGGGGTAGTCGCTGCTCAGCCCTGCGGCTCCGAAGGCCTGGCACACGGGGCGGCCAGTGAGCCTCGTCTCTGACGCTCGGACCCCAGCCAGCCTGCCCTCCCCGTGAAGTCTGAACACGGACGGGCATCCTTCACAGCTCAGGTGGGCTGGTCAACCTCTGTCCCCACAGACAGGCTCAGTGGTCTTGGACAGGACCCTTGACCTTCAAAATGGGGACCCTCCTCCCAGGGTGTTCTGAGGAATGGGGAGAACTCAGCAGCCGGAGTGGCTAGGGGACGGGGCCAGGAGGAGCTCCAGGTGCTGGGAGTGGTCCTGCCGTCCCAGCGGGGTTCAGACGGCCACACTCACCTGGACCGCTCGGTCGATCACACGGCAGGCCATGGAAGGGGCCACCATTTTAATCATGGCGATGTCCAGGGCTGCGGCCTGCAGGGGGAGGCCAGGGTGGGCTGTGAGGGCATGCCTACGACAGACTATCAGGAAACAATCCAATGGACAGAGAAGCAAAAGCTCAAGGGAGATGTGGGTCCACCAGACCATAGACTCTGCCCGCTCACACCCGGACATGGTGACCATGAAGAGGGTGACCGAAGGGCCAGCACGTGAAGCAAGGCTTCCCGGATGGAGGTGGGGGCTGCTGGCAGAGGCTGGGCCTGGCAGGGCCACCTCGGGCATCTCTCAAGGGCCTCTTCATAGCAAAGCAGACAATAAGCCTCGATTCTGGCCGGTTCTGGCTGGAGGCGGGGCCTCGGGTGGCCACCTTCTCCCTAGCTTACTCTGGGCTTACGACCACAGAACCCTGGCTAGGAGCCGAGGCCAGGATCACAATCTGGTCAGGGTCACCAGCGAGGATCCTGAAGGTCACCAGTGCAAGGCCAATGTCGTCACCGTCTCTGGAGAACCTCATCCAGACCCTCGGCTTCTGTCACAGGAGCCCTTGGCCTCCTACCTTGTTTCCGGTCATGTCCATGAGGTGGGCAGCCTTGAGCACCAGGAGGCGGGCCTGCTCGATCTCCACCCTCGACTGGGCGATGTCTGCCAGGAGTGTGCCCTGTTCCACCAGCGGCTTCCCAAAGGCCACACGGGACTGCACCTGTCGTCACAAGACACGGGGCTGAGGATGCGCTGGGCCAAAGACGTGCTGGGCTGAGGATGTGCTGGGCCGAGGACGTGCTGGGCCGAGGACGTGCTGGGCCGAGGACGTGCTGGGCCGAGGACATGCTGGGCCGAGGACGTGCTGGGCCGAGGACGCGCTGGGCTGAGGACGTGCTGGGCCGAGGACGTGCTGGGCCGAGGACGCGCTGGGCCGAGGACGCGCTGGGCCGAGGACGCGCTGGGCCGAGGACGCGCTGGGCTGAGGACGTGCTGGGCCGAGGACGTGCTGAGCCGAGGGGACAGAGCGGGCAGATGAACAAGAGGGGGCAGGTCGAGTCTTTCACTCCTGAACCTCTGCGTTATGTGCAAGATGGGGATGAGAAAGAGGAAGAGAAAGACGTCCGGCTTAAATGCAATCATTGCTCAGATGAGGGGAGCTGGAGGACAGGGCCAGAGAGGAGCTCAAGGAGGTGAACCAGCTGGGGCCATGTCTCTGAGATGATGACCTGAGGTCTTGGTTAACTCGGCAGAGCCTGCCCTGGCTGAGACAAGCAAGCGGCCCTGTAGGACATCATCAAAGCCTTGCGCCTGGCCACGCAGCTCAAAAAGCAGACCAACGAACAAAGAAGTAATGACAAGTAATAAATGCAAATAAGGATAGAATTTTAAAGAGAAGGAGAAAAAAAAAAGAGAGCAGGTCAAGGTAGGGGCAAGACAGGGAAGTGGAAAAGCAAGAGGCTGTAGCAAATCTACGTGCAAATTTGCCAGCTCTCCAATGGCAGGAACCCCCAGGAGAACTGCAAATCCCACCCTGCAACGTGCAGCCCAGCCTCCTGTGAGCTGGACAGGCGGCCGCAGGTGAAGAACGGGCCTCTGTGTATGAGCAGACAGAAGGCCTAAAGCTACGCTGGTGTTAAGTAGAGTTTCCTATGCACGCAAAATCTGAATAATGAACAAGGAAGAATGAAGACAGATGCCTCTGAATGATGATGTTGGCCAAGGGTACAGACTACACTGAGGACTTCAGAAGAAGGAACACGTCGACATTGGAAAACATGCAGCCGGGACGCCCTTTAGGAGAAAGGGAGGACTTTGTCTCACCTACTTTGAATATGCTATCAACAAGGACCAGTCCCTGCAGAAGGGCACCGTGCTTGGTAGAGGGGACCCTGAAAAGAAAGTTTCTCAGCGAAGTGGACGGACAGTGGCTGTAAGCAGCAGCTTCCACGGCCCCAGTGAAGAGGGTGGGGTTTCACACTGCTGGCCGCGAGGTCTACGCGTCAGAACTAACAACAAACGGAGTTTATAAACACAAAGGGACAAGGGCTGCTGACCCACTGTCACAAGGGGCATGTGCACGCCATGACGGCCACTACCCTGGACACACAGCGGGGCTTCTGTGTCATCTGAACTGCGGCATCCACACCAGACCCCAGGACGTCCAAGTGAGGACCCCAATCAGAGAAGGACGCGCACTGGGGGAGAGCTTCCGCAGAGGGGAGCCTTGGGCGTCCTTGTCCTACGTGGGGCACACTGGACTTGTGAACGCTTTTCAGCCAGGGTCCATCCCGGCGTGAGGCTACGCAGCCGAGCACGCGGGGGGAGGGCGCCCTCTGCTGACCAGCGCCAGCCACCTCTCTGCTCTCTGAAGGGCACAGCCACAGACGTTCTACACAAACACGTTACAGGAGCAACACATCTCATAGCAGAAAAAAGGAGAGAGGGTCTGATAAGAACATTTCAGGGGGAAAAAAAGAGGAGCTGAAAATTACCCAGACGCCCTCCCTGCATTTGGCTGGTACCCTTCTAGACTTGGACTGAAATGCTTTTTGAGTGTAACAATAGTTTGTGTATCGCTTTGTGGCCCGCTTTTTACCTTTCTGTTAAGGAAGGAACAGATCTGTTATTCTGGTGTTTCACTGCACACTCACCATGGTTCATTCAACCAACTGCAACCCTTAGCCACACTGTGTTCGGCTTGAACCCACCAGGTGCCCTTCTGGAGAAGGACAGACAATCTCCTCCTGTGCAATGGACAGCCTCTAAAGCCCCACTGGCGGGTTGGCTGTGAGCTGGTCCTCAAACTCCTTGGATCCAGTCTCTTTAGACTCACAGTCACCCCCCAGCACAATCAAGCCCATACACAGAAAGGCTGTGTTAATGCTGCAAGCCTTCTGGAGACTTCTGCCACACTTGGGCAGACTGCCAGGTTGGGAGATGGAATCTGAATCTGGGTATCTGCCCTACCTGACCCACTGGAGGAGAATGTCCTTCCAAAGCATCAAAGACCGATCAGTCTCCACTCAAGACACGTAGAACCCAGACTGGCTGGTCCAGAATCACAGCTTACTGGCTGACTGTCCCTGTGTGACTCTGTCCCTGGAGAGCTTCCCGGGGCCTGGTCTCAAAGGTTTGCTGCAGGTTTGTGAAATCAAGTCCTGATTCAAACTGAGTGTCTGACCAGCGAGGCCGTTCCTTGCTTGGAGCTCCCCACCTGGGTGGGAGCCTGGCAGGCTGGGCTCTCGGCAGCTGGGAGAGGAACACAGCCGGGCTGGTGCCAGGCCCAGGGCAGTCATTGCCACCTGCCAAGGCTTGGATTTTGAAAGATGTGCTGGGAGCAGCCTTTCGACCTTGCCCTCGGTCACCACAGAGCCCGGCTGGTCTTTCTGGCCACAAGGACACAGTGGACACATTCTAACTGACTCCACAAAATAGCAGCTGCAAGGTGAAGACGGGGCCCACACTCTTCTTGGCAGGACTCCTCCCTGCCCCTCCCGCTGCCTCTGCTTTCAGCAGTCGTGCCGGGTAGCCTGGCCGTGGGGTGGATGGACTTGGGGTCAACAGCCCGGTCCAGCAGGTGGTAGAGCCAGGCTGCAGGGATGGAGCTGGGGGGCTGCAGGCTGCAGTCGGGCTGGTTCCAGGCCGGGGAGGGGGGAAGGCAGGGGAGGTTGTGGGTATGTGGTGACTCACTCGGGCCTTCATGAGCTCCAGGGCTCTCTCAGAGAACCCGACCAGTCTCATGCAATGGTGAATCCTGCCAGGACCCAGCCGGCCCTGTGCGATCTCAAAACCCCGGCCAGGGCCCAGCACCATGTTCTCCTTGGGCACGCGCACGTCCTCGAACAGGACTTCACCATGACCACCTGAAAGACCGAAACGCACGTCAGGGAGCAGCTCCCCGGCCTGCTTTCCCACAGTCCCTTGCTTCTGGTCACCTCACTGGCTGCAACATTCTTACTGAGAGGCCAGTAACAGCATGTATCGAACACTGAAGAGTATTCTGCCATCCCTCCTAAACCACAGGGCCTCCATGGTACCGTGGGCTAAGCACTGGGCCACGCTCCGACATGTGGGTGGTCTCTCCCCAGCTACTTGGAGGGAGAAGCTGGAGGCCAGCTGCATGCATAGATGTCTCGTCGTGGACACCTGTGGCCAGCTCCCTGCCCTGCAGGGTTTCTGAGTCAGACTCGGCACTGGTTTTTCACATAACATGCCTGGACCTATACTGAGAGGTCCTCCGAGTTAATGACCCCACAACGAAAGAAAGAAAGAAGGATCTGAAGGGAGGGCGTGGGTGCCTGATGACCACCCCAGGGCTGTGCCTGGGGCTTCGAGGAAGAGGTGACAGAGCAGATCTGGGGTGCACACCTGACTCGCTCCCTTGCCCTCAGTGGACTCTGGGGTTCACGCAGACTTTGGCTTGTTTTCTGAGAAGAGGAGGGACTCCCCGAGCGTTATCACACCTGGCTCTCAGTAACGACTGCCCCAAGCCACCCGCCAGGAACCAGAGGTGCCAACCTGGTGCGTCCTCTAGACCATACACCGTCAGGGGCCGGACGACTTTGATGCCTGGGGTCTCCATGGGGACCAGGACCACTGACTGCTGCCGGTGGCGTGGGGCCTCTGGGTCTGTTTTCCCCATGAACACACAGAGCTGGCAGCGAGGATCCAGGATGCCTACAGCGGAGGGAGAATTAGGGGCCATCACCTGGTGCCAGGGCCACCAGCCAGCCTCGGCCGGTACAGTCCAGTCGGCAGAGCCGGCAAGCAGCTTCCCTGTGGCCCTGGCAAGGCGAGAGGTCCAGCAAAGTGAGAAGCTGCTGACAGAAACTCAGACAGCAACTGACTGTCTATAAAGGACAAATCCCAAATCATTAATAGTCAGGCTTACTAGCTGGGACACAGCACCTGGGCCTGCTCCTCCTGGTCCTAGCTTCCTCCTCTGGAAAAGGGGACAACGGCTCCTCCCTTCTGGGGAAGAGGGACATGACCAGGAGTGGGGACTGGCCAGGGTGAGGGTGTGCTGTGCTGCAGAGACAGCAGGGCTACCCACAGTGCTCACCCCACGGTGCTCACCCCACGGTGCTCACCCCGCAGTGCTCACTCAGTGGTGGTTGTTAGATGCCATGGTGACACCCCCCTCTCCAGCCCCCACCCCCACCTCCGTGATCAGCTGGGAATCAGACCAGTACTCTCCACAGGTTTTGACTGGCTCATGTTGGTAAGGAGCAGCCAGGCCTTGTTTCTTGCTCCACCCCAGGCTGGAAGCCCCACAGGAACCTGTTGTGTATCCTGACAGGGCAGAGCCCTCCTGACAGGGCAGAGCCTTACGGTTGGGGTTAGAAGCACGGAGGTGGCCACAGAGAAGATGACCTTCCAAAGGGAGGTGTTCCAATGATGAGGAGGGGGTGCAGGAGATATTCTGAGGGCCACTCTGGCAGAGGGTCTGTCACACAAAGGCCATCTGGTGGTGAGTCCACCCTGTGCCCCACTGTGGGGCTGTTGGGATACTGGCCAGGCAGGGTCGAATGCTTCCGCTGGGCACAGGCGTCCTCTGGACCCCCTTTACTGGGAGGAGAGACAGGCCAGAGTCCCGAGTGGTGACTGAGCAGTGCACTTCTGAACAAGTACCTGAGATCCACCACTTGTGACCATTTATGACATAGTGGCCGTCCTCCTCTCTGATGGACGACTCGATGTTGGTGGCATCTGATGAGGCAACCTGGACAAGAGGACCCTGCCATTAGGAGACTCCCAGGGGGCCAGCCTGGTCCAAGAGGCCCCACGGTGGACACAGAGCTGTTAGGGCACCCCCAGGGGGCCAGCCTGGTCCAAGGGACCCCACAGTGGACACACTGCTGTTAGGGCACCCCCAGGGGGCCAGCCTGGTCCAAGAGGCCCCACGGTGGACACAGAGCTGTTAGGGCACCCCCAGGGGGCC